TAGAGTTCACAAAGCACAGTCGTCTAAGTGTGCTCTAGGGCTGTCTGCATCAGTCACCTGTTAAAAATGCAGATACTTCAACTCCACTCAGACTTGAACTTTGTAGGGCTCGGAAACTCGCATTCTTACACTGAAGGTTGAGATTCAGTCATTATTCTCTCAACAGTACTAGCTTTCAAAGTTTTAACCATAGCCCACAATCAAATAGAAATGCATTTTACATCACCACTTAATCCATGTGCTCACCCCTGAAAAACATTTCATGAAATAATACCCTTACTCCAGGCGATGCATTCTCATTTTATAGTCTGTTATGTTTTAGTTGCTTTCCTAATGCTGGTGCTAACGCATTAAACCTGTGGTTTGAACAACCCTGCTCTACCGTGTGCTCAGTCATATTTCAATCACAAAGGCAGGCCATCTTAGCTACAAGAACCCTCAGAGGTCATCCGATCCAGCAGCCCCTAAGTCCTAATCCTTGCCCAGCTCTGGTTACGGGAGAATCACCTGAGGCGTTTATTTAAAATGTGGATTCCAGAAAGCTTAGAGCAGAACGCAGGAATCTATTTTTCAGCAGGCTCCCTAGATGATTATGTGCACAGCCAGGTTTGAAAATTGGAGGATGTGACCCTCACACTGGGAAGGCGCTCTAGGATGGCAAAGGATGTGAGTTCGCCTCTCTCAGCTGTTAGCGGGCAGGGTTTCCCAGTTTGTGTATCGCCTTCAGATTACTTAGGAAGTCCTATTTGTGAAATACCTGCTAGTTTCTTTAAAAGCCATAAAAGAATGTGGCACTATTGAATTGATAAGTTCGACATATTTATTATATTTCTAATACACCAAACTAAATCTGCAACCCTTAAAAAACATGTCCTGCTGAAGTCATTGACTCAGTAACGTATTGAGTGCCCACTAGCTGCTCAGCACGTGTACATTGCTTAGAATACATCAGTGAACAAAGACAAAGATTCCTGCCTTCACAGAGCTCACATGCTAGTGGAGGGAGACANCAGTGTCACTGGCCCTCATATGTGGGATCCGAACCGGGGCCCTCTGGCATCCCAAGCGAGTTCTTAACCATCGCGCCACTCGGCCGGCCCCCTAGGAGAGTTTTTTAATA